ATAACACGGAGAGAAATGCCAGATACAGGTGAAGGGGAGGAAGGTAGCAAATCACACTGCTATGTGTGTACCTATGCAACAATCTTGCATGTTCTTCACATGTACCCCACAACCCAAAATGCAATTTAAAAAAAAAAAGACTCCACAGAGTCTAAAGACCAAGAAAAAAGAAAGGATGAGGCAAAGGAAAAAGAAGGGGAAGCTCTTTCTTAGAGTAGGCTGCCAACTGACAGGTGTAGAAGCAATGATAGCAATAGATTTCTTTACAACCAGAAAAAAAAAAATCAGCAAAGGATGATATAATATTGGGTAGGAGATTGTTGGGAAGCAGAATATTAAGAAATCTGACAGACACCCACTTTAACCAACTGACCAAACTTAGCATTACTAACAGTAGGGCCAACTGTGTCTCACACACACCTATTATACCACACTGAGAAGGACAGAACATTACCTATCTGTGTAATACTCCTGCCAAAAAGGCATACCTAGACCTAATCAGGAAATGGCAAAGCATCAGACAAATCCAAATAGAAGGATATCTATAAAACTGAGATGGATTTTAAACACACACACACACACACACACACATACACACACACACGAGAGAGAGAGAGAGAGAGAGAGAGAGAATGACATGAAAAACTTTTTAAAAAAGAAAAATAAATGAAAAGGGGCTGGGGACCTTCCTACGTTACAGGAGACTAAAAGTAAATGAAATGCAGTTCATGACCTTTGGTTGGATCCTGGGTGGCGGGATATTTATAAAAATCCTTATTGGGACAACTGGGGAAATCTGAATATGGACTGTATATTAGATGCCAGTATTGTGTCAGTGTGAAAACGTTAGAGTGGATAGTTTTACTGTGGTAAGAAAATTGTTCCTAATAGTCAACTCTCCTTTAGTTCATAAAACTACATATGTATATGTATATATATATTTATAAAGTTTATGTATATCTATGCATTTATGATATACATATTAATGTAGAGAGAATGGGTAAAATGTCAACAATTGGTGAATCTAATTGGTGCTTACTATACTAGTAGATTTTCTATAGATTTAAATTTTTAAAAATATAACTTTTATACAAAATATAATTTAACTGAAAAGTAATTTAACTGAAATGTTTATCCATTTAAAAAACAAAGATTATTATTTTTAAAATCCAACTATATGCAGTTGATAAGACACTTTTTTTTTTTTTTTTTTTTTTAAAGAGTCTCAATCTGTCACCCAGGCTGTAGTTCAGTGGTGCAATCTCAGCTCACTGCAACCTCCGCCTCCCGGGTCCAAGCGATTCTCCTGCCTCAGGCTCCTAAGTTGCTGGGACTACAGGCACAAGCCACCACACCCGGCTAATTTTTGTATTTTTAGTGGAGATGGGTTTCACCATATTGGTCAGGTTGGTCTCAAACCCCTGACCTTGTGATCTGCCCACCTCAGCCTCCCAAAGTGCTGAGATTACAGGCATAAGCCACTGCACCTAACCTGATAAGAACCACTTTTAAGCCTAAAGATGCAAAAAGATTGACAATAAAGATGATTTTTTAAAAAGAATGCTGAAGTGGCTCTATCAGTGTCAAACGAGAGATTTTTAAACAAAAAGCATCACCAGAGAAAGACGACCATCTCAATGATTTTTCAAAAAGTTCAAATTACCAAGTGACTTATAAAAAGATCTACAGTCACATATGTTTAATAAAATGTTTGTTTTTCAACAGATAAAGCAAAATCAACATAACTGTGGAGAAATAGAGAAACCTACATTCACAGCAAGAGAGTTCAGCCTGAATCTCGGTTAATGATAGACCAAGCAGCCAAAGTAGCATTCAAATGAGGGGAGGAAAATCCAGACATGCAAGGATCTGAAGCCTAGCATCCATGGATATTTTCTGAAATACTGTCACAGGCTGTCCTCTTGCCAAAGAAAAAATAGTGAATACAAAAGAAATACATGGAATATAAAAACAATGGCAATCAAGAAGGCAGTAAAAATTCTCTGGAAATTCTTTATTACAGGAAAAAAAAACCAGGACTAATACCTGAGATTATCTTAACATGGGAGGTGGATGAAATGCAGGAAGAAAACATGCAAACATTTTATGCAAGAGGAAGGTATACATTCTATTACGGGATAGAGAAATGGTAAATACATGTCAAAAATTTAAGGTTAACTACTAGAAAAAACATATTGTTTCTGAACCACTAGAGTAAAAAACAGAAACAAGAATAAAAGTAAGCAAACAAAAATCTGATCAAAGGCAAAAAGGAACAAAACAAACAAGAAAAAAAATAGGGTTAACTACGGCATGTCAATCCAACACGCTAGAACAGATGGCTTATGTGAAGAGCAGTAAAGCTATGAGCTATTTATAAGAGATACCCCTAAAATCAACTATTACCTAAAAATTGAAAACAGATGGATAAAAATACAAGAAAAAAATGCTACCTAGAAGATGAGCATAATATTAATAGTCGCTTGAACTCTATTTTGTCTGCTATCACCAAAGGAAAAATAAGGGATTTTTTAAAATTATAACTCACAAAAACTGTAATAGGCACAAAGAATTATGCATTCTCTCCAGGACTTCAAAGAACATAAAGCAAAAAGCCTTGTAAAAATATAAGGTGGAGAAAATCCATAACTACCAGGTCTAACACCCTTAGAAGCCACATGCATACTTATTCTCCAGGTTTCTCCTGGTAGATAGATTAGCAGTCTTGCAATTCGCTTAGTGTCTGAGTTACTACTTCTCTGATCCTAGTATAAACCTATCCCTGGAGCATGCTGAGAATTGACCTTAGTTACAGGGCTAATGGAACAAGGGATGGTAGTGGTGGGTCTTGAGAAGAACCAGCATCCCCTTCCAAAGCATCTGCCCCAAATGAGGCTATAAAGGTTTTCAAGCTAAAGAAGGTAGTCTATTCAGATAATGAAGGACAAGGGACTTTTACTGGCCAGGGAAGCTCAGCATGACTCGGGGTTGCAGAATTGTCAGTTTTATCTGAATCCAATCAGATATTCCAAGTTGCAGAATCTCATTCTTTCCAAGTCAATGCCCTACATTTTAACACAAGAAATCTTCCAACACTGAATTTAACTATCCTAATTCAACAACCCATGCAATTAAATTTTGTGTCTTATTTTCAGAAGTAGCAGTCTGTGGTAATAAGAAACAGCAATTCTTTTAGGGCTAAAATAGAAGCTCTCTGGTTCTCAGACTGTCACTTGAGCTGAAAGATGCTAAAGGACCTGATGCCACCATTTTTTCTCTGTAAATACTCTAGGAAAAGCAGGAAAATCCACTCTACATCACAGCACATGTAGTCATCATTACTGCTCCAACAGTCAGGTCAAGCAATTGCTTGTGATTCCAAGGAATGGGCTTCTTTTGATATTTCATCACAATTAAACACAGGGCTTAATTGTGATGCCACTGCATGCAATAGATTATCCACATCTCATTTCCCATTGGCAAGTAGGCTGACCAGTGCACTTAGGCGCAAACAAATCCCTCAAACAACGCAAACGTGTGTGTGTGTGTGTGTGTGTGTGTGTGTGTTTGTATGCATGGAAGCTCTCAGCAGGAGCAGGAGGGATCTCCCAGTACTAATTCTCTATCAGTCAGGGTCCAGGCAGGAGACAGAAACTACTAAGTAATTTGAACAGAGAAGGTTTAACATGAAGAAATATGTATATGACATAAAAGATGTCCTAGGGCTGAAAAGGAGTAGCTGAGGGAGGAACAAACTTGGAAGGGCAGCCCATTCACAAGACTGGGCTGCAGGCCACGGAATGGTGGGCCAGAGCTGGTCCAAACTCTGGGAGCTGAGGCTGCTTGGTGGTCAGCCTCCCACTGGGTGCCACGGGCTGAGCACACTGGCTGGGGACTAGCGCTAAAACTTGCTAAAGGGTAAGTGCCACGTGGTGTCCGCATATTTGCTACTGCAAACCATGGAGCAAGCCGAAATAGGTGCACACTGAAAACAGGAAGAGAGGTCCCTTCCTCCTGCAACATTCCTCCAGCTCCCTCTACTGACAAAGTTTAACATGTGCGAGATGGCAAGGGAGAAATGTTTCCAGGGCCTAGCTCCATTATCCAGGCAATGAAAGGTGGATGTGGAGTCAACTGGGAACTGTTTGCACTTTTCCTTCAACCAGCTCCACAGCTGTTCGGGGCTCTTTGCCTGGAAGAGTAACCCAAACCGTCGTTCCCAATGGGGCTGAACTCTGGGAAGTGCTGCCTGAGGAGTGTTGCTAGAGCTGTCTCTCAGCCTTTATTATGGGGCACGTTAGTCCAGGGACGGACCCCAGGGTAAGCCTTGAGATCCTCCATCACGTTTCTCTGAATCTTCTTTGGGCAACAGTGACTTTTACTTTCCCTTGATAGTTTCATTGATTACTCCAGCCAACACTGGTTTTTGTTGTTCATGTTTGCCTACTTACCTAGTAGTAATTCCTGAAGATATAAATTGCCTAGGTGGTGCTTTTAATATCCAAATTCAACAGAGGTATCACTACCTCCTGGTGGAAGTGTATGTCCTTCGGGCACTAAAGCCACTAAACTAGCAAAGCCCAGATTCATGGGGACAGGAAACATTTTGTAAGTTATCACGTAACCATTAGGAGTGGAGGCAAGGTGACGGAGGAGGAAGCTGAGGCATACAGAGGTTAAATAACATACACAGCTTGCACAATTATAAACAGCCGAACTGGAATTTAAAATCAGGTTTGACTCCAAAGTCCATGTTGTTTCCAATACATGTTGCTTCTATCTGCCAAGCTACTGTGAAGTGTCGGTAATTAATTAACACAATTTCATACCACAAATATCCAGTACTCTGTCTCTCAGCGTCTAAGAGGACCACCTACATGTCACACACACAACACTGATGGTTGTGCTGAGCTTCCTGCAGCATTCCCTGCCCATTTGTGTGTTTATCATCCAAAAAGCAGCACCATATACCCAAGGATGTCAAAATCGAGTGTCCTTACCTTATCCCAAAGCTGAGACTTTTCCAAGCTTGAAAATACTGTAGCAAGAACTAATTGATGGGTCCAGAACTTTGGCAGTTGTATGGCCACACACTTCCAACCCTGTGGTAAGTGGACCCTGTGCTAGTCTGGCTTAACTGTGGTTTTGCAGAAGGAAGGCACAGCTGTAATGAGAATGGGGAGTCAAGCCTCTGATGTAGGAACCAGCTGACCTCTAAAGTCTCCTCCAGTCTCAGCAGTTTGTTCTGTAAAACAGCAGCAGCTGTGGAAGAGCTCAGCCCTTATAGAAGGTTAAAGATCATCAATGCCTCTTCACAATCTTGAGATATCTCTGTTTTACAATGATCTCTGTCTCCATGGAAACACGTGGCTGGGGTTTGGGGAAAACATTACCTCGGGCCTACAGTAAATGTAGAGGCCTTCTTTTGATTTTTTATTAAGGGACAGCTGGCCATAATTTAATAGGGAAAGAAATGGCCATGATGTAATTATTCTCCTTGAAGACGAAACTTCATAATAGCATTACTTTCATTTGTATAGGTCATCGCCAAGACCAGGCGCCTACGTGGGTTTCAGAGACATGATTGAATTTGTGTAGCTATAAGTGCTCATACAGGGTCAAGTATTACTCATCTACTCATTCCATTTTCCCAATGAGTCGAATGCGGTATGGAGGCAGAATGCACCCTGGGAAATGTGAAGCGAGAAAAAGTGCCTTCAGCTGCTGCCCCACAGCAGGGTGCCTCCCATTCCTCCACGCCTCCATCCAAGATCCCTGGGCCAAGGTCTTATTCAGTTCTGCTTGGCACCGTCTGAAACCTGTTTCCTGCTTCTCTTTTTTCTTTTCTTTTCTTTTTTTTTTTTTAAGACAGCATTTCACCATGTTGGTAAGGCTGGTCTTGAACTCCCGACCTCAGGTGATCCGCCACCTTGGCCTCCAAAGTGCTTGGATTGCAGGCATGAGCCACCATGCCCAGCCCTGTTTCCTGCTTCTCATGCTCTCAGAGTCCAGGTGTCAAATGGCCAATCTGTTTCACAAGTTGATGCACATAGGAGGAGGCAAATAGTTAGCTTCCCCCTATTTAAATATTCGGAGATGAGACACTAACTTCTTCTATCAGGACAGCAGTTACCACAGTGCTTGTATTTATCTAACAAGCATGAATATGCTGGTCATCATGTGGCAGGCACTGTTGCCACCACTCCACAAATGTTCACTCATTAAGCCTCATAAATGCCAACAGGAAATATGTTCTATTATCAGCCCTGTTTTATAGACAAGAAAGCTGAGGCACAGAGAGGGTAAGGAATTTACCTAAGGTCACACAGTTAGTACGCTAAGGCCAGATTCAAAGGTTCAGTACTTTCACCTATACGCCGTAGGGCAAATGCACCTGATAGCAATAGAATGACCCTGTATGGCAGATGCACCTGAATGTGTATTTCGAGTTAGGGAATCCAGACATGCCCAACCCGGAGATTTATTCCTTGCCTATGGCAAATATCTGAGCCCTAGGTCCATCACATGAAACACAGACCGTACAAGGCATTGAGGCACTTAGTTACAGGTTAAATGGAGGTTGCTAGGTAGAGGTTGTTGAGAGAGTGTTAAGTGAAAATGTTACATAAACAGCGTGATGTCTGCGGGTGGTAGCAGTTCTCCTGGCTGGCCCACTGCCAGTGGACTCTCCCCTGTGCATAAGCACCTGATAAAACCCCATGTCTTATTTGTTGGTGCTGGGGCTCTTCTTTGGCCTGTTAAACTTGGTGCCTTCTCTATTGAGATTAATGGGAGTTCGATACAACATACCCACAAATACAGGTTTGGCTTTTACCATTCCAAACGCTCGGAACGGCAAGTCTACTCTCCACTTAAAATTAGAGGAAAGGTCCCTAGTGCCGTCTCAAGAGATATGAAAGAGTTGTTTGGGAAGAACCCAAATAAGGATGTATCATTTCCTTAGAAGCTAGGCCTTTCTTAAGACTTTCTGTTCTGTTGCTCCAAACAAGCAGGGACAGCAATCTCAAACTTCCCCTGTCGTCTGAAGTCAGCCAGTATGTGATGTCACCACCTCCCATTGCTTGCTAATGATAACCAGTGGAACTGACAACACCTAAGACTGTTATCTGTCCAGTTTAGCACAAACTGGAAATCTGGCCCTGCTGGGGACTGGCAGATATAGCCCATGAGATGAGACTGCTAAGAGCTGCAGGGTCAGGGCGTATGCCTCTGCCCTGGTCCCTCAGTCAGAGACACAGTCCCCAGCTCCTTTCCTATGTGTGTTCTGCAGCCACAGTGATAAGAACAGAGGGTAATTCGGGGACACTGACCCTCAGCTGAGACCTCCACACGCTGATGTAACAGACCTGTCGTCACCAAAATGTTTAACACTACTGGAAGGCTGAAAAAGCAAATCATAACTGTTCACCTCTTAAGTGACAAATAATTTGAATTGTTTCACTTGTTTTTTTAAATATAGTCAAATTTATGAATTATGTCTTCGTTATACTTAAAAAAGCTTTATGTACATCAAGATTAAGGAGGAAATCACCCATTACTTACATGCTATCACTCTTTACATTTAAATTTCAAACTCATTTGGAGATTTTTCTTGCATGTGGTGCGAAATATGGGTCTAATTTTATTGCATTTTCCTTTTATTTTTAGTCGGCGTGTAATAATTGTACCTATTTATGGGCTACAGAGTGCTTTTCCATGCATGTATACAATGTGTAATAGTGAAATCAGGGTAATTAGTATCTCATCACCTCGAACATTTCCCTTTTTTTTGTGCTGTGAACATTCAAAATCCTCTCTTCTAGGTTTTTGAAGACATGCACCGCATGATTGCTAGCTGCACTCACCACAGTGCTACAAAACCCTGCAACTTGTTCGTCTGTCAGCTGTAGCTTTGCATCTGTCAGCCAGGCTCTCCTCTCTCCAGCCTCTGGTCTCTAATAACCATAATTCTAAGCTTACTTCTATGAGCTCAATGGTTTTTTTAGCCCTGTGTATGAATGCGAACATCTGGTATTCACCTTCTTGTGCCTAATTTCACTTAAAACAATGTCCTCTGGACTCATTCATGTTGCCATGAATGACAGGATTTTATTCTTTTTTGAGGCTGAGTGGTGTTCCATTGTGTCTGAATACATGCTTTCTTTATCAGTTCTTTCACTGATGGACATAGGTTGCCTCCATGTCTCCACTATTGTGAATAGAGCTGCAATAAACATGGGGGTGCAGCTGTCATACACTGATTTACTTTCCTTTGGATAAGCACCCAGTATTCACTTCTGTTTTTAACAGACCGAAAGAGGGTATGTGCCCCTGTGCAATCTGGCAGAGACAGAAGAGGTTCTTATGCCAATACCTGGGTCTAACCCCGGTGCTGAATGACTCTACAGTGAATAGATATACTAGCCCTTCAGTGAACAATAGCAGAAATTCGAGTCAGGTACTGCCTTCAGGGCCTGCGGGGATATTTTATGGGCAGACAGGATTCTTGAAACTTCTTATACTGGCTGAGCGCGGTGGCTCACACCTGTAATCCCAGCACTTTGGGAGGCTGAAGTGGGTGGATCACGAGGTCAGAAGTTCAAGACTAGCCTGGCCAGCATGATGAAACCCTGTCTCCACTAAAAATACAAAAATTAGCTGGGCGTGGTGGCAGGCGCCTATAGTCCCAGTTACTCAGGAGGCTGAGGCAGGAGAATTGCTTGAACCCAGGAAGCGGAGGTGGCATGGAGCCAAGATCACACCATTGCACTCCAGCCTGGGCAACAAAGCAAGACTCCATCTCAAAAAAAGAAACTTCTTATACTTTGCCAGGCAAAGCACATCTGCTCTATTGCTTATACGCCTAGAAAAAACATGCCTGCCATTGCCTGCCCTGTCCATGTCCCCTTCTGAGAGAAACAGCTGTAAACAGCCCTATAGGACAGGATACCACATGATTCTACCCCATCCCTCCATCTACAGAACTTGTGAACATGTGGCCAGAGGGCAGGCAGTCCATCCAGACTTCTGGTCTGGCTCAAAAAGATGAACTTTTTAAGTCATATTATTTTTCTTGAGAATTGAAAAACTGAAAGCAGCTGGAATAGCTCGAAATCACACGGGGCCCCAGGGTCCCAAAGAAACTGAGCAGCTGCGAAGAGGCGGGCAGGAGAGAGAGGCCGATGGCTGCCCTGAGACTTTCCTCAGTCCTGGCTTCCTCTCAGCTCCAGGTTCTAGTCCAATGTGGCTTTGGTCTCTATTCTTAGATGTCCATGACATTTCCTCTTGAATCCAGACACTAGGAGAGCACCACCAGAGGACAAACATGGTGGCCCACCAAGTAACAGCAGAACAGGAAACAAAACCTTGACCTCCAAACCAAAACTGATGTGTCTGTCCTCAAAAGCAGGTGTGATCATGAAAATACTGAACAACTAGGTGGCGTGGGCCCCACTGGTGAGAACGGAGGTCTGCCCTATGACAGGCAGGCAGTGAAAGTGCAGGTGCATCCCAGTCGCCTGCTTAAGTCAGGAACGTCATGGCACTTGGCGGAAGGCCATTGAGGACAGCTTCATGTCCTTCCCTGAATGAGACAATGCTGTGAAAGCTCACTATAAATTCTCAAGTGTGATACAATCTTCAAATTGCTCCCACCCAGGTTTGGCTCCTCAAACCTCAGTCCCCGGTGGATGATGCCTGAAAGGAATGGGTGAGGCCTTCTGAAAGACAAGGAAATGGCCCTGGTCTGCCACACAAACCAAGTCCTTAGGTGGAACCAAAGTAGTCACTTCAGATTGTGGTTCTTTATATCCACCTGAATTAGAATGGGCCAGGGCGTGGCCATCAAAGGGAAGTGGGATCTCTCTGAAGCCCTTGGGAGAGACTGTGTCGGTCTTTGTAGGTAAGGAAATGCAGTGCAGATCACTACGGTGAAAACACAGACATTCCCTTTCATGACACAGTCCTTCCAGCAGGCCCTGTTGAGTGGTTATGCCCTGCCAGGGATGTCCACGTCTTTTAGTTTGCACATTACCACTGCATAATGTTAAGGTTGACATCTAGATTTTTCACCTTAAGCTTGAATAGCTACAAAGAATACGACATCCAGTATATAGTAAATATCATTTTAAAATAAAACTGTTTCATTACCCTCTTTAATGTAAAACCTGGAGAGGGAGATAGACCATGGGAGGGTGAGATGGAAGGAAAACTAGGATGGAAATCCTTTTTATGGAGCCGAGATTTAAATGGCCCATCATCATCCATGCAGAGTAGAAAAGGGAAGAACACTTTAGGCAGAGGGAGGAAGTGCAAAGGCCCTGAGGCAGAAACAGCCTTGACTTGTTTGAAGAAGAGGATGGCAGTGTGTCAAGAATATAGCAAATAGAGGAACGTGTGGCAGGAGAAGGGCTGTGAGGAGCAGGCAGGGCTGGATCATGAGGAACTCTGGAGGCCATTTGTGTCGACTGCCTTCCCTTTGCTTCTCCACGCTCTCTATCCTTATGCCCCCACTTCGAGCCACAGGGGCTCGCCCTGCATGGGCTATATCAACAGACTCCATTGACTGCTGACTTCTAGATGTGCTTAGCCCAGGGTGCGCTCCTGCAGTTCTGAAAAGGGAAGAGGGAAATGATGGGTTATTTATTCCCTTCATTCTCTCCTTGCAGGCCTCTCTGTTTCTGGTTACTGCCTTCTTCCCGGAGCCCGCAGCCCTTCTTGCCTCTGAGTGGTGGTACCACCTGCTGTTGCAGCCTAGGGCACTGCACTAGGGTTTCCGTGGACCCTCCCCACCTTGTGGTTTTCCGATACCCTCCCTACTCTGGTAAAATGTGCCTTTATA